GCACCGGTGTGCAAACTGCACGCAGGCCCAGGCGCAACATGCCTGCATGCCGCGCGCGGCCCCCTGATCGCGCCAGATAAATGACCGAAGGGGGGGCGGCAATGACGGGGCGCTGTGGTGGCGCTGCTGGCGGCGGCACTGCAACTGCAATGTGACCACGTTGGCAATGTGGCAGCGCTGGCCCCACGACGGCGGCAACCTGTCGGGGGCCGCTCGTCGCTCGTGCTCGCGGCCCGCGGTGATCGCGGGAGCGGGAGCGCGCCGCCCTCTGGTGAGATGACCAAAAAGCCGAAGGCGTTGGGCCTTGGGCTTCGGGCTGGCGGCCTGGGCCCGCGGCCAGGCCAGGCCAAACCAAGGGCGAGCGACCGCCTGCGCTCGCAAGGGCTACCCGGCTACCAGGCAGCGGCCACCAGCAGTGAACTTTACTGTTACTACTAATGCTGCTTTCGTAGGGGGTCCGACTCCTAAGTAGGGTCGCGCTGGGGTAATCCCTCCCCTCAAAGCCACTCTTCCTTTCCCTTTCCTCCTTATCCATACCTTCCCCCCTCGCCTCCCTTTCCCTACATCTTTCACTTCCTGGCCGTTCCCCCCCTCCCTGTTGCGGTGCCCCCCCTTTCCCGGGCGGGCCTCGCCTGCAGAATCAGGGCCCGAAGGCTCCGAAGGCTCCCACATCAGCCAACGGAGCCCAAGTGGCTGCGGGGCGAAAGCACGAGCAACGAAAGGAGGGGCAACAGGAACACGGGCGCCACATCCCCCGGGCAACGGAGGAGGAGGGGAGGAGTGAACCGCAGGTTCTCCGGGGGAGCCCAGGCTGTGGAGAGTCATGCCCTACCTTTTCCCCGGGGAAATTGCCTAAACGTATTATTATATTATATATGCACATGCACATTTTCTATTCTTCTCATATTATTGGCATCCTTGCTGTGGAAGTGCTGCTCAGGTGTTTGCCGCTTATAGGACGAGTGTACGCGGCCCTAAGGCGAGAACCACATGCTGAAAACGACCCGCCCTCAATCCGTGAAGCTCTTGTGATTTTTTAAGAACGAATGTGCACGGCGCTAAGGCGAGAGCCACATTATGAAGACCATCCACCTTCAATATGTGAAGCACGTGCAATTTGTGTTAAACAAAAGGGAAGGGCACTGAAGCATGAACCACATGTTGAAAACCACCCGCCCTTAATCCGTGAAATTCCTGCAAATGTTTAAGACGAGTATGCGCGGCGCTAAGGCGAGAACCACATGTTGAAAACCACCCGCCCTCAATCCGTGAAACACTTGTAAACGTTTAAGACGAATGTGCGCGGCGCTGAAGCGAAAACCACATGTTGAACACCGCCCGCCCTCAATCCGTGAAACTCCTGCACATGGTTTAAAACAAGTGTGCGCAACGCTAAACGGAGAGCCACATTTTGAAAATGACCCGCCGTCCACCCGTGAAACTCTTGCAATTGTGTAAAAAGAATGCGCGCGGCGCTAAGGCTAGAGCCACATATTGAAAGCGGCCCGCCCTCCATCTGCGAAGCCTCCTCTTAATGAAAACGGCCTGGGACCGAAACCGACGGACCTGGACCCGCAAAAATGACGGCCGCGACGCCCTCTCGCGAACCGAAAACGGCCAATTCCTGAATCGACGTGTCAGGGTAGGAGGTCTGTCCACCGCCGATCATCAATGGTGATGAAGTCTCAGGCGAAACGCCCGGCCCGCCCCAAAAACTGGCCTCGGGGTGCGACAGGGAGGAGTTACATTTGAGGAGAAGGAATGGAGAAGAAGGAATGGCGGAGGAGGACAAGGAGGAGTAAGAGGACGAGGAGGGAGGAGGAGGGAGGAGGGGGAGGGAGGAAGAAGGAGAGACGAGGAGGAGGAGGAAGAGGAGGAGGAACAGGAGGAGGAGGAGGAAGACGAGGAGGAAGAGGAGGAAGAGGAGGAGAAGCGCGAAGCCCGCTGGGCGAACGACATGGAATACGTGCGGGCGAGGGGGCCGCCTTCCAGTAGGACAAGGGGGGGGTTCTCGGAAGGTACAGTAGGGGCCCGACCACAAGAAACCTTCCACAAGAGACTCAGCCGTGAGACCCCAGGACGTCCACTGAGTTCTTGATGTGGGAACGTCACGCTTTCCGTGGCCAGACCATCGACACCCAAGAAAACCAGGGCACCCTGGAGGCAAGAAGGGTGCTTCTTGGCATGGGCCTCCTGTGTATTGTTTCTTTGTTGCTTCATTGGTGGAACTCTCCGAATGCAGCAGGGATCTGGCGGGCTAAAGCTGTCGCGTGCAGATAACGGCCACGCGCTTCTAAGTGCTCACGGCTCCTCGAAGGGCTGTGGTGCCTCTAGGATGGTTTCCTGGAACGCAGATGGGCGTCTAGGAAGAGGGCGGTGAAGGAGGGGAGGAGGGGCAGGAGGGACTGAGCGGAAGGAACTTCTGGATCTCCGCAGGGTCTCCTGCACCCCCCCTGGAGCGCCTTGACCCCCTTGAAGACCAGAGGATTTTTCGTTTCCTCCCCCTCCTCCTTATACTCATCCTTCTCCTCCCCTTTCTCCACTTCCTCCCCTTCCATTCCCCCTGCTCCCCCGTCATCCTTCAAGAGAACATGCAAACACCCACCCTCAAGGAAGATCATCCTCCAATTTTGTTCCCTCCTCCTCCTCCTCCTCCTCCTCCTCCTCATTCTCTCCCTCCTCCTCCTCCCTCCTCCTGCTCCCTCTGCTCCTGTGAGGGAGGGCGTTAGGGGGTGGGCTCAGGGGGGGAAGTATCGAGTTGGAATCGGCGATACATCGTCGATAGATCTGCGGCCCCCGATCGCTGATGGATGGGCGATTGGGGGTCGATCCTCCTCCTCCTCCTCCTCCTCCTCCTCCTCCGCCTCCTCCTCCTCCTCCTCCTCCTCCTCCTCCTCCTCCTCCTCTTCGTTCTCATCCCCCTTGGTGCTCCTCCCTCCTCGCCGCTCTGCGCTCCTCGCTGCTCCCCGCGGCTCCTCCTCGCTCCTCCCCCTCCCCCGATCTCCGGCGTGGCGACTCTGTGCTCGCAGCGTGGGCCCTGGAGGTCTGGACCCCGCTCTCGGCGGCGACAGCCGGGGGGGGGAAGTGAGCAGGAGAGGGCCTCCTCCGAGGGCGGCGAGGTTGCCCCGAGGCCCCCGAGCCCTCTCCGAGGCGCTGCCCTGCGCCCCCGGGGGGAGGGCCCGAAGACGACATGCTCGGCAGGCCGGGGGACGCCCGGGCGAGGGCCCGAAGACGACATGCTCGGCAGGCCGGGGGACGCCCGGGCCTCCGGTCCGAGAGGGCCCGGCGCCGCCCGCCCCGAGGGGTCCGACGCCGTGCTTTTTGTCCATGCGGGGTCCCCAGACCCAAAGATCAACGCATCGAAAAAATCGAGACGGAGGTTTTTCTAAACATCTGGCCTCTGGGGGCCCTCGCCGGGCCCTGGGACCGTCAAAAAACGACTCTCAGGATAAAAAAACGGTCCTGGGGAATGGGTCGGGAGGAGGAGGAGTAGGAGGAGGAGGAAGAGAAGGAGGAGGAGGAGGAGGAGGAGGAGGAGGAGGAGGAGGAGGAGGAGGAGGAGGGAGGAGGAGGAGGAGGAGGAGGGAGGAGGGAGGGGGAGGAGGAGGAGGAGGGAGGAGGAGGCATGGGAAAAAAAAACACGACGTCGGATCTCTGGGGAGAAGCCTCGACCCGGGCGTCGTCGAGGGTGCTCGGGAGGCCGCAGGGCGACCCCGAGGGCGTGTATCCCATGGGGGCACCTTCTAGAGGGCCACGCCCGAAGGATCCGCAGCCTCGCTCTCTCCACTCGGGGAGACGTAAGACCCGGGTACGGGGGACTCGGAAATCCACGACGAGGTCGTCAAAAAAATGACGAGGCCGAGCCTGCATTTTGACGAGGCCTCCCGCTGCAGACATCCCACAAAACTCCTCCTCGTCAAAATCCGAGTCGCGGTCGTCAAAAAACGATGGCGAACCCGAGTCCTGGCAAACCCGGGTCTTACGCTCCCCCGATCCACGCTGCTCCCTGGCTCCCTGGAGCGGGGGAAGCAGGAGCAGTCCCAGACATGCGACGTCCCTGGAAGTCCCCGCCCGTTCCTGGCCATTGCTCGGACGTCCATTCCCTGTGTTTTTGCCGGTTTCGTGCGTGGCTTTTTCGCCAAATGATCAAGGATGCTCCTCGATGGTCCTCGCCGAAGGAAAAATGCACACGTCCGAGCGATGCCAAGACCCTTTCCCCAGGACCGGCTCTTCGTCCTGAAGCGTTGTTTGACGGCCCCGGGGCCGGGCGAGGGCCACCTGCACCCTTATATGGCACGCCTCAGCCACCTTCCATCACGCCTTGGCCACCTGCAATCATAGCGGGCTGCAGTGGGGTGACATACCAGAGATCAAACCGGGGCCCGGCGAGGGCCCCTGGAGGCCGACAACCTGCCGAAAACCTCCGTCTTGATGTTTTAGGGGGCCACATGCGAACCCCACCCCTACCCCCCACAACTTCTGAGGAGGAGAGTGTGGGGTTCACTTCGGTCGGGAGCTCCCGAGCGAAGTGAACCCCACCCTCCCCCTCAGAAGTTGTGGGGGGTAGGGGCAGGGCTCGCATGTGGACCCCTGTGTTTCCAATGCGTTGGCTCGCTGGGCACCTCCCCCCCCGGGGCTCGCCGCCAATGGCGGCCTGGGCCCCCTTTGCCGGGAACGGCCTCTCCCCTCGCCGGGGTCGGCCTCGGTGCTGCCCGTGGTGAGGTCCCCGCCCCGCTCCTCGTCCTACAGCTCCCTCCTCCTCGCCCTCCTCCCTCCTCCTCCCTCCTCCCTCCCATCCTTCTCGCCCTCCTCTCCCTCCTTCTCCCTCCTTCTCCCTCCTTCTCCCTCCCTGCTCGCCCTCCTCTCCCTCCTCCTCCCTCCTTCTCCCTCCCTCCCCCGCCCTCCTCCACCTCCCCCCCCCATCCTCCCTCCCGCTCCGTCCTCGCACTGCAGGGGGGGGGAGGGAGCCGAGGAGAGGCCCGCCGGCGGCAGAAGGGGCCGACCGGCGTGTGCAGCAGCATCTTCGACGTGTTCGTGGTGAGGAAGAGCAGGGTGCTCATGGCGAGAAGCTGCTGCCTCGGCACGACGTCGGTTACCAGCCTCGAACGTATCCCTATCCCTAAGATTGACACGCCCAAAGGCGATGACAATCTTAGGCATTCGCCCTCAAAACAGAAGGACATCCCTATGATTGGCATCGTGATGAGGAGGTGCCCAGCATAGGGATAGAGACATGTTCCAGGCTGGTAAGTCGGGCGCGCGCCGACATGGGCGGCGAGGCCTCGGGCTGCGCACAGACGGCCCCCCACCAGGTGGTCCCAGCTGTCGAGAGATCCGATGTCGTGATTTTTCCATGCGGGGCCCCAGAAGTCCCGACCCATTCCCCAGGACCGGTTCTTTATCCCGAGTCGGTTTTTGGACGGTCCCAGGGCCCGGCGAGGCCCCCAGAGGCCAAATGTTTAGAAAACCTCCGTCCCGATTTTTTCAATGCGTTGGATCTTTGGGCACGTGCCCCCCGAAGTGGCCCAACGCCCGGGCGCCGCCTCCGGCGGCGCCCCCGGGCCGCTCCACGCCCCCCGGGGTTTTGGGCTGCCGAGACCGCCCCGGACTGCTCGGGGGGGGGGGCTCGCGCCGCGGCCAGTCCGGGGGCTGCCCGAGGAGGGGCCGCGCGGAGGCCCGCAGAGGGCTGCCCGAGCGGGGGGGGCCGCCCGTGCGCAGCCCGAGGCCCTGCCAGACAGCGGGGGGGGGGCAGGAGGGCCCCAGGGGCCCCAGAGGTCCAACGCAGTGGACAACATCGAGACGGAGGGTTTGGGTTTTCTAAGCATCTGGCCTCTGGGGGCCCTCGCCGGGCCCTGGGACCGTCGAAAACCGACCCGGGGTAAAAAAACCGGTCCCGGGGAAAGGGTCGGGACTCCCGGGGGCCCCGCATGGAAAAAATCATGACCTCGGATCTCTGGGTAAATCCATTCCAGAGCGTGCGAACGCTCTCGGAGCGTTCCGGGACGCTCTGAGGAGGCCGGGGCGCCCGAGACATCCTGTAGAGCCGCTGGGTCTCAGAGATTCTCGACTTAATGTCTTCGGGAATGGGTCGGGATTTCTGGGGGCCCCGCATGGAGGAGGTTGAGGAGGAGGAGGAGGAGGCGGAGGAGGAGGAGGAGGAGGAGGAGGAGGAGGAGGAGGGGGAGGAGGAGTAGGAGGAGGAGGAGGAGGAGGCGGAGGAGGAGGATCTCTGGGGCCCAAGGTGCCCCCATGGTCTTCAAGGAGGCCCGCACGGCCCCCCGAGCGCCCCGTCACGAGGCCCGGGTGGCCCGGGGGGCTCCAAGAGGGGGCGAGACGCTGGGAGCACCCTGGGACAGGGGTATTTTTAGCACCCCCTCGAAACATGGATCAGGAATCCGTCCTCCTCGCCCCCCGCCGCTCGCTCATCCTCCTCGTCGCTCCTGCTTCCCCATCTCTCCCCGCCTCTCGCCCTCGTCGGCAGGTCTGAAGACGGAGCCCTCTGGGGTGGGACCCTGCAAGGTACCTCCCCGAAGACGCCAACGGTACGCAGCCCCCATCTGTGATTAGTGGGCGATTGGATTGGGCGTTCTGGCCAGAACTTCGTGGAGGAGGAGGAGGAGGAGCAGGAGGAGGAGAAGGAGGAGGAGGAGGAGGCATGACACATCCCGCAGAAGTCATGCTGGGGAGGAGGAGGAGGCATTCCACAAATTCACCGAGGAGGAGGAGGAGGACGACGACGACGAGGAGGAGCAGGAGGAGGGAGGAGGAGGAGGAGGAGGAGGAGGAGGAGAGGAGGCGGAGGAGGAGGACGGGGAGGAGGAGGAGGAGGAGACGAGGACGAGGAGGAGGAGGAGGAAAGATGAGGACGACGAGGAGGCGACGACGAGGAGGGGGGAGGAGAGCCCAGGCCGTGGCGACGAGGGCCCCTCCAGGACGAGGAGCGGCACGGGCCTGCACACCATGGCTTATACCTCCTCCTCCTCCTCCTCCTCCTCTTCCTCCTCCTCCTCCTCCTCATCCTCCTCCTCCTCCTCATATTTTTCTTCTTCTTCCTCCTCCTCCTCGTCCTCCTCCTGCTCCTCGTCCTCCTACCCCTCCTCCCCATCATTTGCGAGAACGGGGCTGCCACCACAGCCAGGGCAGCGTCCCGAGCTCCGGAGACCGAGAAATATATCACTGCATCGTCGGATGTCTGGGGATGGTGGGCGGAGGGGGCGGGCGAAAGGCGAAGGGGGAGGGGATGGCAACGGGCTGTGATCATTAGAACGCGTGCAAGCGCCAGCGCGTGTTGACCCACCGAAGCCATCCCATACGACGCAGGCGGTGTAGGCAAGGCCGCCGCAGGAGGCCGCGTGCAATCGGTGGAGTTGACAGGGGCAGAAGCACATTGGGCCAGCACACGTCCTGAGGGCAATCGCAAACAGGCGGGGTCAGCGAAACGGCTGCATGCGCCTGTTGTCTACACCCGCTCCCGGCGCTGGGGACGCCAATGCATCGAGGAACTCGCCTGGCCGCTGGGCCGAAACCAGATGCATGCAGCAGTTTTCGCCCCCCCCCCCCCCCTCAAAACGAAGCCAGGACGAGGAAGAATCCGGATGAAGATGCTGTCTAAAAACTGTTTTGTTGTTTAATTACTTTGGGGAGACCGTTAAAACAATTGTTTTCCCCAGCGCTGTAGTGCGCCTATAGAAAACAAAAGGGAGGCGGGGCAAACTGGATCGCTGGAGACGTCCCCGCGACCGCCCTGGCGCCCTGCGTGCAGGGGCAGATTCCTGCCCTGCGCACCCCCTCTTGACGTCAGGCCACGCCTGCCACGCCCTGCGACCCGCGCACCGCGCACCCTGTCTGGGTTGCGAACGAACCACACCTGACACGCTCGAGCCTGGCGTGGAAAGAGACGGCACTTGGGGACCATCCCTTGCGCACGCCCTCTGGTGCCGAGAGGGCCACAAGTACTTTAAGATGGCCTCCAAGATGGCGCAAGATGGTCCAAATTGGCTCAATATGGCCTCATCAGACCGGCGACATGTGATGAAACAATTATGCAATTAACGTTTGTTTTCGGAGGCGGGGAGTCGAGGCGGAGGGGAGCGGAGGCAGAGTGGAACAACAGGACAGGAGAGGGGCTAGACCAGGTTACGACGAAGGCCGGATCGCTCTCCAGGCCAGAAAGGCCCTCAGCAAGCCGCTCAGTTCGAGGCCGCACCAAGGCTACACCAGGTTACAGCGAAAGCCGCACCGCCCTCTGGGCCAAATTTGCGGGGCTACACCAGGATGCGATGAAGGCCGTCCCCCCTCTGGGCCACGCAAGCGGGGATACACCAGGTTACAACGAGGGCCGGCGCGCCCTCCAGGCTAGACATAAGGGGCTACACCAAGCTACAATGTCACATCGGCATTCTCCCTGGTACCAAAGCATACACAAGTGGCATCAATCGGCATCCATGGAATTGTTTCCAGGGGGGACAGATAAGAAATAGTTATTCGGATGCGAATTAATGGCAGTCGGGATCGGGGGGGGGGAAGGGGGGGGTCATCATTCTTCAAACCAGTTTTGGACATTAAGTCGAGAATCTCTGGGGACCCAGCGGCTCTACAAGATGTCTCGGGCGCCCCGGCCTCCTCAGAGCGTCCCAGAACGCTCCGAGAGCGTTCCAGCACGCTCTGGAATGGAGTTACCCAGAGATCCGATGTCGTGATTTTTTCGATACGGGGTCCCCAGAAGTCCCGACCCATTCCCCAGGACCGGTTTTTTATCCTGAGTCGTTTTTTGACGGTCCCGTGGCCCGGCGAGGGCCCCCAGAGGCCAAAAATTTAGAAAAACCTCCGTCTCGACTTTCTGAATTAGTCGGATCTTTAGGCCCTTCCGTCCGACCCGAGAGCACAGCAGAGACGATTGCACTCGATCTGGGCGCGGGCCGACATCCGGCCTCGGCCCCCTGGGAGGCCGGGCAGGGGGCCCGGTGAGGGGGAGCGCCGGGGACGAGGACGACTGCGAGGGCGAGGAGGGAGCGACGAGGAGGAGGAGGCCAGAGAGGGGGGGCGACGACGAGGAGGGAGGAGGACGACGAGGAGGAGGGGGCGACGACGAGGAGGGAGCGACGACGCGGAGGGAGGACGAGGAGGGAGGCCAGAGTGGGAGGGGGGCGACGACGAGGAGGGAGGCACCGGCGGAGGGCGGGAGGAGGTCGGAGGAGGGAGGGGCTCTGGCCGGGGGATGGAGCGGAATGGGAGCAGGAAGAGGAGGACTCGGCGGCGAGCCCAGGGAGGGAAGCGAGAGGGAAGGGGCCCGAGGACACACAAATAAATACACACAAATAAAAATATTCCCCATATTTTCCTATATTTTCTGGGTTTCTGCCTTCCCCCCCACTTCGCATATTTTCCAATATTTTCTGGGGAATCGAGGATTAATGATGTCTGTGTTTTTTCCACTCCTGAGAGAGCGGGGGGGGGGGGGGGGGGCAGACCTTCGCAGAAAGCCCGGGGCCTTCTCAAAACCCTCTGGTCTTCTGAGAGGCTGCCTCCATCGTCGGGAAGGCTCTGGAAGCTTCTCAGAAGGCGCGAAACTTCTAAGAAGCCCCGCCGCCCTCTGAGGTCCGCCCCCTCTCGCTTCCCCCCGGGCTCGCCGCCGGGAGGATGGAGGGAAGAGGTGTAATAGGAGAAGTGCGCAGGGAGAACAGGGATCGAGAAGGGAGTAAGAAGGGCGTACGAAGGAGAAAGAGGTTCTCCTCTTCCTCCTCCTCCTCCTCCTCTCTCTCCTCCTCCTCCTCCTCCTCCTGTCCTTCAATCCTCCGGCGTGCGCTTCTCGGGATCGGCCTGTAGCGCACGGACACGTAGTCGACGAAGAAGTGATGCAGCACCGGATCTACGTTGAATCCGCGACCCCCTCCGATCGGGAGCGCCGAAGTGGGGGGGCCAGGAAGCATTATGTAGGTCGGGCACGTCCTCCTACAGGCGGATTTTGAAGGAAACATCGATATTGACAAAACAATTTGAAAAAACAACAAAAAACAAGTCAACACATGATAGAAGCATCATCCCCTGATGATTTGTTGCCTAGAACCGCGCGCCCCTTGACGCGCGCTTGGGTTCTAGCGCATGCCATGGCATTGATAGCTGTGTTCGGACCGGCTCATTCCATGCATTGCCTTACCCCATCCTCCAATATTCCTCATACGTCCTTCCTCGTTAACCCTCGCTGTTCGTTTCTCGTTCTTATTGTTGTCCTCTGTTTCCCTTCGTCTCTCTCTCTCTCGGTTGTCCTCGCTGTTCGTTTCTCGTTCTTATTGACGGAATCCTCTTGTCTGAGATAATGCGGGGGCCTCGAGCTGCTCAGGGCCGGCGTGGGGAGATCCCGAATATGAAGTGGGCTGGCTTGAAGCGTATGGGCCTCTCGTGGATCTTCCCGTTCGGGCTGCCTTGAAGGCCTTGGGGCCCGCTTGGGGCCCTCTTGGGCTCTTCTTCAAAGTTGTGGGGCCGTCTCGAGACTCGGCGCCATGTGAAGCTCTCCCGAAGCCATTTGAAGGAGACGAGCGTGAGATTTACGAAATATGGAGAAGCCTCAATGACTTTTGCGTTTATTGCTATCTGGGGTCACTTGGGAGGGCCTTTTGGGAGCTCCACTGGGGCATATTGGGGAACCTGGGGGCCGCCTTGAAACATCATGGAGCGTCTTGGACCACCAAGGGGCTGCCTTGGCGGCCAGCGGGCGTCCTCCTGAACCCGCTCGGAACCCTCCCCAGGCCGAAGGAGTCACCCAAATGCCGCAGATTTCGTAATAAAAGGGAGGGGGTCACAACCCTCCCAGACGAGAAGCTTTAGACCCCCCCAGGCCATCCATGAAAGGGCGGCCCTTTGCCCAGACCCCCCCCGAACCCTCCAAGACAGCTCAAATCAGACCCCACCCCAAATGTGACCCCCCCACACTTTGTTATGGAATCCGGAGTACCCAGATACCCCAAAGCGGATCCCGGAGCCAGGGGGGGGGGGGGGGGAGGCCAATGGAGTTGCAGCGGGGGTGGTTTGGGCCAAGTGGGCCGCCCCGGGTGCCCCCCTCGCCCCCATGGGCGGCCCCGTCGTCTTCGTCCGTCGTCCGTCGTCCGTCCGCCCGCCATGTCTGGCCATCGCTCGGACGTCCATTCCCTGCTTTTTTTTTTTGGGGGGGGTCGTGCGTGTTTTTTTGTCGTAAAATGATCAAGGATGCTCCTCGATGGTCCTCGCCGAAGGAAAAATGCACACGTCCGAGCGATGCCAAGATGTTGCTTCTCCATGATAGCTCTGCCGCGGGGATCGTCTCTCGCTTGCTCTCAGAGAAGGTGCCGGGGATGCAGCGGCCAGCGCTGTGCATGAGCTGCTGCCTTGCGCTGCAGCTCGCTGGAAACTGTTGTGTGAAAGGCGCTGCTACCCTGGGCTGCAATGCCTCGCAACTAAATACCCGAACATTATTTATCCGACACGACGCTTGAACGAGAGATGGACATGCTTGGCTCGCGCATGAATCCTTTGTCCACGGGTATAAGCCTGGGGTGTGGGCCAGAGGCCTCATGGACGTGTGCTGTGTCTCTTTGGAAGTCTTTCGGAGCACAATGTTAGGCCTCTTGGGGGTCTCCTGGGGGCTTTTCGGGGGCTTCGGGGTCTCTTGGAGGCTCGTTTAGGCAGTGTTTTGTGTTTCCTGGGGTGCTCCGGGCCCTTGGGGGGCCTTCTCGGCGGCCTCGTGGACCGTCTTGAAGGCCTTTGTGGCCGTCTAGGAGCAGTCTTGGGCTGTCTTCGAGCGCTCGTGGGCCGTCTGGAGGCCATCTCAGTGCGCTCTTAAGCCATCTTCCAGACAACCTGGGGCGCTTTGGGAGCCTCTTGGGCCAGCTTGGGGGCCTCTGGGGTGGTCCGGGGTCCCTTGTGGGGTGTCTTGGGGCGATCTTGAGGGCCTCTTGGGCCGTCTTGGAGGCCTCTTGGGATTTCCCGGGGCGATCTTGGGGTTCTCTGATGCCGTCGTGGACGCTTTTCATAACAACCACAAGAAGGACAGATGCTAAACATATAAGCTTCCCCGAAGAATTGGGACGATGTTTGTATATTGCGGCCCTCACAGGTGTCCTCTTGGAGGCCTCTTGGGGGAGTTGGGGGGCCTTTCGGACCGTCTAGAAACCATCCTGTGCGTCTTGGCGCGCTCTTAGACCGTCTCGGATGCCTCCTGGACCGTCTGGGGAGCGCCCTCGGGCCCTCCGAAGGCTCGCAAGAGGTCCCAGACCCCCAGGGACACAGTGGGTACCAGGGACCCGGTTCCCCGGTGCATGAGATACTATTCTTGGATGTTACTCCTGTAGAGGGACGTGCCCACTGAGGTCGCGGCGTGGCCGCCCGCGGCGGGGGTCGCGGTGGGGCCGTCGGCGGGGGTGGCGCCCCCCCGACGCTCACTAGGAAACTCGGAGCAGCGGCGGATTTGGGGCGGAAGCAAGTTGCAACACTGCCCGACGGTGCTCGAGCACAGCCAAAGGTAGCCGAAGCATCGTCGCCCGACCATTGTGCGTTGACTACTCCCAGAGATCCGACGTCGTGATTTTTTCAACACGTTGGATCTCTCGGTTCTGGAGTCTCCCTCCGGTGGAAATCGAAGGTCGGCTACACGCAAGAGTGACCCTGGGTAAGGGTGACCTTTGGTGCGCGGTTCCTTGGGGGCAGCGGGGCGGGGCCAAACACGAGCGCGCAAGACGCTAATACCGCATCGCGCTTGGCGATCGGGGGCCCAATTGGGCCCGCACCAAAGGTCACTCCTGCGAAAGGTCACTCTTACGTGTGGTCGGTAAGGAGGCCCCCGAGAAGCCTCCCGGGCCTTCCATGCAGGCGCCTGCCTTCCAAAGGGGCCTCGGCGCCCTCGGCAGACGCTCGCGCCCCTCGCGTCCCCCCCCCCTCTGTGAGCGCCGCCAGTGTTTCGTCCTGGGCGGCGACGGGGCCCTGGATTTATGTCGGCCCTGTCCCCCAACAGGGGGCTTTTCGACGAGAAATCAAAGATACCCCAACAATACCCCAAAGATGTCAAAAATTCCACCCCAAAACAATCCCCAGACTATTTTTGGATTATTGTTTGATTATTTTTGGTATGTTTTGTTTTTCGTTGTAAATCCCCCTGCAGGGGGACAGGCCCGACTGAACCGTGGATGCTCGGCGATGGCCCGCGCGAATATCACGTGCTGACCGTGGTTCACGAAGAACTGCAGCACTGCCGAGAAGACCAGGCCGCTCTGGCGGTTGACGGTGCGCTCGTACACCTCGCTGGCCGCCGCCGCCGCCGCAGGGCACCGCCGCGGGGCACCCGAGTCCAGAGGGCACCCGCCCGCCAACCGGCAGAAAGAGGTGGGCAGGCACGTGGAGTACAAAGGGGTGGAGTGTTGACTGGGCTTCCGCCAGTCCCACGAAGCGCAGGGTAGAGGAGAACCGCTCGGTTGGTTGGATGACAGGAAGGCGCGCAGCATGGACAGGAACGTATGGGAACGGGAAGACCAGGGGGAGGGGGAGGGGGAGGGGGAGGAGGAGGAGGAGGAGGAGGAGGAGGAGGAGGAGGAGGAGGAGGAGGAGGAGGAGGAGGAGGAGGAGGAGGAGGAGGAGGAGGAGGAGGGGGAGGGGGAGGAGGAGGAGAGGAGGAGGAGGAGGGGAGGAGGAGGAGGGAGGAGGAGGGAGGAGAGGAGGAGGAGGAGGAGGGGGAGGGGGAGGAACGCGAGGTGGCTGAGCAAACAGGTAACCGGCACGGCTGCTCCCAGGGATCCTCCCTGGGAGAGTTCGGATCAGGATTTCGAGGCGAACCCAGCCGTGGCGACGAGGGACGCCCAGCGGTGTTTGTTGTGTTGCTCTGGCGAAGAGAAGGAGGGAGAGGAGGAGGAGGAGGAGGAAGAGGAGGAGGAGGAGGAGGAGCAGGAGGAGGAGGAGGAGGAGGAGGAGGAGGGGGAGGAGGAGGAGGAGGAGGAGAGGAGGAGGAGGAGGAGGAGGAGGAGGAGGAGGAGGGAGAGGAGGAGGAGGAGGAGGAGGAGGAGGAGGAGGAGGAGGAGGAGGAGGGGGAGGAGGAGCAACGCTTCCTTCCACCCAGAGGAGGCCCCACCGGACCGCGCGCCCTGGGCCAGGAGCACGCACGCCACGCGGGCACCGAGGGGCCGCCGCGTACCTGGCCATCGCCCACTGAGAGTTCCCGCGGCGGCCGCGCGGCCGCCGACGCCTGCCCGCCGCGCGCGGCGGCGGCAAGGGAGGGCGCGGCGCCCTCCCTGGGCGCGGAGGGCGCCCCGAGGCGGGCCCTCGCGACGAGGGTGCACAAGCCGTAGGCCGGGCAATACCCAGAACATGCCCCACAGATGCCCCAAAAATAATACCCCCAACAGCAGTCCACAGGCTATGTTTTGACTACTTTGGAATGTTCCCCCTGTAGAGGGACAGGCCCGACTCAACACAAGCCCTTCCGAATGCGACTGACATTCCAATTGCCACCGCGGTTCTCACCCCGACCAGGACGACGCCAGCGACGGGCACCGCCGCCATTCACGACCGAGGCAAAGACGGCACTACGTGCACAATACGTGATGCAATGGATCGGGACAACATGCAGGGTGTCAGAGAGTCGGAGGACCAGGGCTCCTCCTCCTGCTTTCTGAAGCTCGCTCGCGGCCACAGGCTCGGGCGCGCCGCCACGAGCCTAGGCCGTCGGCCCCGCATCAGCGCCGGGGGGCCTGAACATGCAAGAGGTGGCCGCGAAGCAGAGCAGCTGACTCTGCCCGCCACGCACAAGTAACGTGTGCAGACTTACGGTCTGATCCGCACTGCTGCTGCAGCTTGTGCGACGAGGAGGCGCAGGCCACGGCGGCAGCGGAATGGATGGGCCGACGCGGTACCACGCAACGAATTCCACTCTGCAGGTCAGCCTCAGCCGCGAGCTCGAGGGCTCTGCCTGCCCGCCTGCGGATCATGCGGGCCTCCACGTCCACGACGTCAGTGTGCGGCTCTGCCTCCGCGAGCCCGAGCCGCCAGCACGCCGCCGCTGTCGCGCTCGCGAGCACATTGGCGGCAAGGTTGCCCATCGCCCACTCGAGGCCCGCCTCAGGCCTGAGGAGGTGCAGGTGCTCGTCCTGATCCGTGTGCGCGGGCACCCAGACAACCTCGATCACGCCTGGGGACCTGCGTCGCCGCGTCTGACGAGCACGCTGCCAGAGGTCCTCGTTGGCGCTGCCGGGCTGGACGGCCGCCAACCTTCTCTTCCAGCGCCGGAGGAGAGGTTCGTGGTCTGTCACGCACCTCAAGTTCCCGCCGACGGACTCCAGCGCCAGCACGAAGCCGAGGATCTCCGCACGCGGCACCGTCTGCCGCCAGGGACAGGCACGGCGCGGAGCCAGCTCAGCTCGGACCACGACCCCTCCCCATCCTGGCCCATGACCACGATGCTGGCAGCACAGAGTCGGCGCCTTGGGTCATCGGAGTGCTTCCCGCCAAAGCCATCGCCGTAGACCACCACGAAGCCGTCGTCGCGCCTCGCTGCCTAGGGCGTCGTCCGTGCCGAAGGACACCGCGCAGCCCTGAAGTCCAGCGCGTAGCCAGCAGCAACGCGACGGGATCTCGCCCCTCTGGCCGCCCGAGACAACCGTGAGGGTGAGGCCCCACTTGGCATGGTAAGCCTCGCGTTCCAGTTTTGATCTCGCGCGCGATGTGCAGGAAGTCCGCGCCACCAGCCATGTCGCCCCCCTGCGGGTGCGCCGCCGCCTGCTGCCAGAGCTGGCGTCTGAGGTCCTCCTCGACATCCTGGAGCACCCCGCGGAAGCCGGCACACGTGTGGCAGCTGTCGTCGTCGGCGCCAGCCAGCCTCCCCTCGTCCTCGCCTTCGGCCGTCGGGCGGGCCCAGACAGAAGCCGCGCGCGGGTCCCAGCCCATCGGCAGCGTGGCCTGCAGCGCGCCCATGGGCCCACGGACCCGCCTCCAGCGCCACTTTCCTGCGCGCCGTGGAGCCCCCCGAGCACCCGGCCACGCGCGCCTGATGCGGCCGTGCAGCGACGCGTCAGAGGACCACAGGCCGCACCAGGACGCCACCAGCTGCAGGCGCAGTGCGACGAAGGGGCCGTGGCGCCCATCTCCGTGGCCGCCAGCACGGAGGCGAGGCAGCGCCCGCGGGCCGCACCGCCCACAGCTTGAGCAGCCCGTCGTCGTAGCTGTCGCGCGTGCCAGACCAGGAAGCGTGCCGTTCACCTGGTGGCCGTAGGCGAACTGCGGCATCGCGCCCGTGGCCCACTCCCCTCGGCACTCAGTTGGTCTGGCTGTGGCGCGTCGAAGCTTGGTGATCTGTCTCCACCGTCGGGCTTCAGCAGCGATGCGAGCCGACGCCTTGGTCCGCACCCTGCGACCTCCCGATCCGCGTCGATGCCGAGGTCGGCCGCTTTCTCGGCTGCCGAGTGTGGGACGAGGCAGAGGAGGCGGAAGAAGAGGAGGAGAAGGAGGAAGAGGAGGAGGAGAAGGAGGAAGAGGAGGCGGAGGAGGGGGAGGAGGACGAGGAGGAGGAGGAGGAGGAGGAGGAGGAGGAGGAGGAGAGGGAGGAGGGAAGGGAGGAGGAGGAGGAAGAGGAGGAGGAGGAAGGAGGAGGAGGAGGAGGAATAATAATAATAGTACTAGTAGAGTAGTAATAATAAAAGTAATACTAATAGTAATAATAATAATTATAATAATAATAATAATAATAATAATAACAATAATAATAATAATAAAAATAATAATAATAATAATAACAATAATAATAATAATACGACTAATAATAATAATAAGGCGAATAAGAAGAAGAATAAGAAAAAGAATAATGCGGCATAGAGGCGCGCCGTGTGTCTGGTTTCCCACAAATCCGAGGCGGGGCAGGCCTGGGTAGGCCTTCGACAAACATTAAAACGTAAGCACTCTCAGAGTGCATATGAACAGGGACAGCGGACAACAGTATCATTCTTGCACGGCTGCCAGCCGAAGCTGGGTTTAAACCAGGAAAAAGCGAGAGGGCCTGGACAGGCCCCAACAAGCTTAACACAAACCCTGGGGAACCGTCGCACCGACAGGTCTGGGTACGACGCGCTACACGGACATAAGTACCACTGACTGTAACAAGCAGGCGGCACGGCGGCAACGCAGCAGCGGTGGCAGCACCTCAAGCCTGGAACGGGTCCAGGCACACATACACGTAGGACATGGAAGGGAAGACGAGGAGCAGAGAGCACGCAATCGGCACCACGACCAGGAAGGTGGTGAAGTCAACGGCGTGCGTGGAGGAGGTAGCACGCGTAAGGAGGAGGAGGAGGAGGAGGAGGAGGAGGAGGAGGAGGAGGAGGAGGAGGAGAAGAACCCCAGGAGCGGGGACAACAGGACGACCGCGCCTTCTTCACGGCGGGGAAGATGCAGGAGACCAGGGACGGGTCCATGAGGCACAGGAGGTCGAGCAAGCGCACCGCCTTCCGCCCGCCGCGCCGCCAGGGGGGGGGGGCGGGGGGGGGGGGCATGCGCACATCTTGCGGAGAGCCGTGCGGCTGGGACGAAACGGAGGAGGAGGAGGAGGAGGAGGAGGAGGAGGAGGAGGAGGAGGAGGAACAATTGGAGACATCTCCTGGGATGTGCGAGTAAAAACGGTCACGGACTATTGGAACCTAATTCTCTGGTTTCTCTGTAACGTTCTGAGCCAAATTTGCCTTGCCCAGATTGGATCTAGGATTCAAGCGAAGCTGGGACTAGTGCAGGATTTCTCCAGGATCAAGGCCGCGTGGGGTTTTTTGGAGCCACGAGGGGCGTCGCCGACGAAGGTTTTGCGACCCCCCTGGACGCAATCCCTTCGCGAAACGAGAAATGCGCCTTGGCGAAAACGAGCCCTGTCACACATCTCGAGTTAGGGGATCGACTACAGAAGGCATGGACCCCCAAACTGATTCTCCCCATCGAATATACGAAGGGAACGTGGAATTTCCGTGAATCTACTGGGACATCGAAGTGTTGCTCCGTGGGTTCAAGGTTGAGACAAGGAATCTAGAGGTACCTCAAATCTGTAGTCGATCCCTTACTCGAACACCAGGCCATCTGCGGCCACTTGTGTTAAGTCGGGCCTGTCCCCCTACAGGGGGATTCTCGACGAAAAATTCAAAATACACCAGAAATGCCCCAAGAAGGTCAACAAATACCCCAAAAAATTGTCCCCATACTATTTTCGGACTATTGTTTGACTATTTCTGGGCTATTTTGGGGGTATGTTTGGACTATTGTTGGACTATGTTTGAACTATTTTTGGACTATGTTTTGACTATTTTTGGGGGTATGTTTTTTATTTTTCCTCGAAAATCCCCTGTAGGGGGAACAGGCCCGACTTGACACCTGTGCGCCTGGGCGTGCCGCGACGGGCCCGCCCCGCGACCACTCCGCCCCGAGACTCGCCCCGCGGGCCCCGCGGGCCGGAGGAAGCGACCTCGCCGCTCCGAGGGCACTGGGCGAGGTGCCAGCCAGTCGCCTGCCCACGGCTCAAACTTTCCTGGCGAAGGGCCCAACCATACAGGGCAGTTTTGGATTTTGAAAAACATAGGATGCCTAAAACACATGACTAATGTACGAATACATGTATGCATGAACTCATCGTTGTTTTTAGTGCTAAATCCCATCGTTTTTAGTACATGATCCGCACGTGGACCATTATTAAAAACGGCACTGCATGCAGTTGTGAGTGCCGCCGTTGTGAAAAATGCCTGCGGTGGAGCTCACACATCGGGGCCACGGACTGCGTTACCCCCTGTACCTCTTCCCCTCGTTCTCCTCTTCCTCACGCGTTCCCCGAAAGGCTTCGACGACAGCTAGGGGAACACGTGGTCCGATAGCTCTCGCGCAACCTTCGGCCACGTGGGCACTTCCAAAAATGCCGGGGGCGGCGGTGACTCACCGTGGGCGTCTTCGACATCGCATTGAATTGGGCAGCCACAACGGACATCGACTCGGATCGGCGGGATCAATACAGGCCCTGGCCTTAGTGGGCCCTGGAAACGACAAGGCCGTTTTTTTACCGGTTCCGTGCCGTTTTTGTTGCCGGTTCCGGCGCTGACTTTTTTACCCGTTCCGTCGCCGTTTTTTGACCGGTTCCGGCTCCGGTTCCAATCCTGGAGCCATTTCTGTTGCCGTTTCCGGTCGCCGTTTTTGTTGCCGTTTCCATTTTCAAGGGACACTTTTTCGGAAACGGTGACAATCGGGGATCTTCTGACCCCGGTCGATCCAGACCCGGGTCAGCAGGAAACCAAAAAACTGCAATGCAGGAAAAAACACTGCAGCGTAGGTCTTCGCAAACCCGGGTCGGCCAATGTGCGCGGCCGCCTCGCGGCCGCGGGCGGCTCGCGGACCCGGGTCGGCCAGAGGGGGTCTTCGCGGGATCCTGCAAGATCTGGCGCTCTGGCTGGCCCCCGTTTGCTCTGACCCCCGTCTCTTGAGCCCCGAAATCAGACCTCTGGACCCGTCCCGGGATGCGCTGCGGCCCGAACTTCGAGAGGAATGCGGCCGAGGCGGCGGGGCGCGCCACGGGAAGCCCGGGCACGCCACGAGAAACCTGGATCCACGGGCTATACTTGCTCTGACCCCAGACCCCCGACGTCATGATTTTTTCATGACGTCGCCCCCCCGAGGTCTCGACCCATTCCCCGGGACCGGTTTTTCGTCCTGAGTCGTTTTTTGACGGTCCCAAGGGCCGGTAAGGGCCCCCAAAGGCCGAAAATAATGAAAAACCTCCCGTCGTGATTTTTTCATGACTCGAGGGGGTCTGGGACCCCCGCCTCGAGGCCCCCGAGAACAAAACGGGCTTGCCGTTGCCGGGGCCCCCTAAGGGGGGGCCCTGGCCCCCCGCCGCGGGGGCCCGCAGGCGGGGCGGCGAGGCGCAGAGGCGGCAGGCCGGCCTAGGCACGCGGGCGAGGGGGGGGGGGGCAGGGCCCGGGCGGGGGAGGCGGGAGGCGAGGGGACTCCCCGTCGCTCGGACGTCCATTTCCTGTGCATTTGTTTCGGTGTCGTGCGTGTGTTTTTTTGCTCGATGGTCCAGGATGGTCCTCGAGGGTCCTCGCCGGGGAAAAAATACACACGTCCGAGCGATGCCAAGGGGAAGCACGAGCTCGGGGAGCCGCGGACAGTCTCGCGGCGACGGCGACAGGCGCGGCGGAGACGACTGCGGCGAGGACAACGACAGCGAGGACGACGACGACGACGACGACGACGACGACGGCGACGGCGACGACGACGACGACGACGACGACGGCGGCGACGACGACTACGGCGGCAAGGCCAGGGCCAGGGAGGCGGGAGGGAGGAGGGGCGCGGCCGCCGTGCGCGGCCTTCCACTCGCCATCGGCTTGGACGTCCCTTCCCTGTGCTTTTGTTCGGTCTCGTGCGCGGCTTTTGTCGCCGCGTGATCAAGGATGCTTCGTAAGAATTCCCGCTGAGAGAAAGAAGCACACGTCCGGGTGATACCAAGTCAACAAACGATCCCAACGCGGCAAGGTTGGGAACCATAGGCTCGAGGAGCCGCGGACAGTCTCGCGGCGGCGGCGGCGGAGACAGCGACGGCGACAGGCGCGGCGGAGACGACTGCGGCGACGACGACAACAGCGACGACGACGACGACGGCGACGACTGCGGCGACGACAACGATAGCGACGACGACGACGACGACGACGACGACGACGACAACGACAACTACGGCGGCGGCGGCAGCGGCGACGACGGCGACGACGACGACGACGATAGGCGCGGCGGAGACGACTGCGGCGACGGCGACGGCGGCGGCGGCGGACGCGCAGGCGGGGCGGGCGGGGCCAGGCCTCCATGGAGGTGGCCTCCGTGAACTCCTGGCGCGGCGGCGCGAACGGAGTCCCGAGCGCCCCGCCGTCGTCGCCGTAATCGTCGTCGTCGCCGTCGCAATAGTCTCCGCCGCGCCTGTCGCCGTCGCTGTCTGCGACGCCGCCACCGCGAGACTGTCCGCGGCTGCATCCTCGTTGCTTCCTTCCGTCCTGGCTTACATCCTAACATCCTAGCTAGGATAACCGCCCCACTGTGCAGATAGTCTTCGCTCGTCTTATTGTTATGGCTAACTGTGTTATTATTAGTATTATTATTAGTATTAGTACAAATATTAGTAGTATGATTATTAGTGTTATTCGTATTATTGTGAATAATGCTGTTATTATTATTACTATTATTATTACTATTATTATTGTTGTTGTTATTAGTATTAGTATTAGTATTCGTATTATTACTATTATCAGTAGTACTAGTATTATTTTTAGTATTATTATTACTATTATTATTGGTATTAATATTATTACTTGTATTTTTATTATTATTATTTGTATTATTATTATTAGTATTAGTATTACTATTACTATTATTTTTGGTGGTAATACTATTAGTATTAGTAGTAGTAGTAGTAGTAGTAGCAGCAGCAGCAACAGTAGTAGTAGCAGCAGCAGCAGCAGCAATAGTAGTAGTAGTCGTAGTAGTCGTAGTAGTCGTAGTAGTAGTAGTAGTAGTAGTAGTAGTAGTCGTAGTAGTAGTAGTAGTAGTAGTAGTAGTAGTAGTAGTAGTAGTAGTAGTAGTAGTAGTAGTAGTAGTAGTAGTAGTAGTAGTAGTAGTAGTAGTAGTAGTAGTAGTAGTAGTAGTAGTAGTAGTAGTAGTAGTAGTTAGTAGTAGTAGTAGTAGTAGTAGTAGTAGTAGTAGTAGTAGTAGTAGTAGTAGTAGTAGTAGTAGTAGTAGTAGTAGTAGTGGTAGTAGTAGTAGTAGTAGTAGTAGTAGTAGTAGTAGTAGTAGTAGTAGTAGTAGTAGTAGTAGTAGTAGTAGTAGTAGTAGTAGTCGTGTAGTAGTAGTAGTAGTAGTAGTAGTAGTAGTAGTAGTAGTAGTAGTAGTAGTAGTAGTAGTAGTAGTAGTAGTAGTAGTAGTAGTAGTAGTAGTAGTAGTAGTAGTAGTAGTAGTAGTAGTAGTAGTAGTAGTAGTAGTAGTAGTAGTAGTAGTAGTAGTAGTAGTAGTAGTAGTAGTAGTAGTAGTATGTTTAGTATTGTCATTCGTATTGCTACTACTGGCACTAGTATTACTATTACCGTTTTCAAACCGGCGTCTTGGACATGTGTTTGCCCACATGCTTAGTGGGGATACTGTTTTCTTCCAGCCCGCGCCGCACCCGTGTCTCCCACCTCCTTCTGGTTTTCCCCACATGTTTCGTGGGGTTACGGTTTTCTGCCTTGCCGCGTCCCACCCACGACGCTCACTCACTCACTCACCTCTCTCGTCCCCTCTTCCCTCTTCTCCTCTCCTCACCCACACGCGTCGCACCCGCGGCTCTCACCTCGCCTCCCTCCCTGCCCCTCTCCTTTTTCAAGCAGCACAGCATAACATAGCATTTGGCGCAGGGCGTGGCAGGTGTGGCACTTTCTCGACTTCGTATAGGGTGCGCAGAGGGTGGTCTCCGAGCGCGGCGTCTACGCGGGCCATGGCGCAGGGCATGGCAGGTGTGGCAGTTTCTCGACCTCGTAGGGGGGTGCGCAAGGGGTGGTCTCCGAGCGCGGCGTCTATGCGGGCCATGGCGCAGGGCGTGGCAGGTGTGGCACTTTCTCGACCCCGCAAGGGGGTGCGCAGGGGGTGGTTTCCGAGCGCGGCGTCTATGCGGGCCATGGCGCAGGGCGTGGCAGGTGTGGCACTTTCTCTGCCTCGCAGGGGGTGCGCAGGGGGTGGTCTCCGAGCGCGGCGCCAATGCGGGCCATGGCGCAGGGCGTAGCAGGTGTGGCACTTTCCTCGCCCCGTAGGGGGTGCGCAGGGGGTGGTCTCCGAGCGCGGCGTCTATGCGGGCCATGGCGCAGGGCGTGGCAGGTGTGGCACTTTCTCGACCTCGTAGGGGGTGCGCAGGGGGTGGTCTCCGAGCGCGGCGTCTATGCGGGCCATGGCGCAGGGCGTGGCAGGTGTGGCACTTTCTCGACCTCGTAGGGGGTGCGCAGGGGGTGGTCTCCGAGCGCGGCGTCTATGCGGGCCATGGCGCAGGGCGTGGCAGGTGTGGCACTTTCTCGCCTCGCAGGGGGTGCGCAGGGGGTGGTCTCCGAGCGCGGCGTCTATGCGGGCCATGGCGCAGGGCGTGGCAGGTTAGGGGGTGCGCAGGGGGTGGTCTCCGAGCGCGGCGTCTATGCGGGCCATGGCGCAGGGCCGTCCGTAGGCGTGCGCAGGGGGTCTGGTGCGGGGTGGCGCCGAGCGCGGCGTGTGCGCAGGGGGGGTGGTGTCGAGCGGGCGTCATGGCGCAGGGCGTGGCAGGTGTGGCACTTCCTCACCCCAGGTGCGCAGGGGGTGGTCTCCGAGCGCGGCGTCTACGCGGGCCATGGCGCAGGGCGTGGCAGGTGTGGCACTTTCCTCACCCCAGAGGGAGTGCGCAAGGGGTGGTCTCCGAGCGCGGCGTCAATGCGGGCCATGGCGCAGGGCGTGGCAGATGTGGCACTTTCTCGACCTCGCAAGGGGTGCGCAAGGGGTGGTCCCCGAGGGCGGCGTCTATGCGGGCCATTGCGCAGGGCATAGCAGGAGTGGCACTGTCACGACACCGTAGGGAGTGCGCAGGGGATGGTCCCCGAGCGCGGCGTCTATGCGGAACATGGCGCAGGGCATAGCAAGCGTGGCACTTTCTCGACGCCAAAGGTTTGCGCAGGGGGTGGTTCCCGAGCGCGGCGTCTATGCAGGCCATGGCGCAGGGCATAGCAGGCTTGGCATTTTCTCGACACCATCGGGGGTGCGCAGGGTGTGGTCCCCGAGCGCGGCGTCTATGCGGGCCATGGCGCTGAGCATAGCAGGCGTGGCACTCTCTCAACACCATAGGGGGTGCGCAGGGGGTGGTCCCCGAGCGCGGCGTCTATGCGGGCCATTGCGCAGAGCATAGCAAGCGTGGCACTTTCTCGACGCCAGAGGGGGTGCGCTGGGGGTGGTGTCCGAGCGCGGCGTCTATGCGGGCCATGGCGCTAGGGGGTGCGCAGGGGGTGGTCCCCGAGCGCGGCGTCTGTGCGGGCCATGGCGCAGGGCATAGCAGGCTTGGCACTTTCTCGACACCATAGGGGGTGCGCAGGGGGTGGTCCCCGAGCGCGGCGTCTATGCGGGCCATGGCGCAGAGCATAGCAAGCGTGGCACTTTTTCGACGCCAGAGGGGGTGCGCAAGGAGTGGTTCCCGAGCGCGGCCGCTATCCGTGCCGGTCGTCCAGGGCATAGCAGGAGTGGCACTTTCCCGACACCATAGGGGGTGCGCAGGGGGTGGTCCCCGAGCGCGGCCGCTATCCGTTCCCGCCGTCCAGGGCATAGCAGGCGTGGCATTTTCCGACACCATGAGGGGGTGCGCTGGGGGTGGTCCCTGAGCGCCGTCGCTATCTGTGCCGGTCGTCCAGGGCGCTGCTGCTGTCCGTGACGGTCGTCCAGGGCATAGCGGGCATGGCATATTCTCGACACCACAGGGGGTGCGCACGGGGTGGTCCTTGAGCGCGGCCTCTATCCGTGACGGTGGTGCTCAGGGCACATCGGTACGCAAGTTTGCTATCCGTTCCAGTCGTGCTCAGGGCACAGGGGAGCGCTGGCGGGCGGAGCAGGCGTGGCATATTCTCATAACCTTAGGGGGTCCGCAGGTGGTGGTCTCTGAGCGCGGCCGCTATCCGAGCTGGTCGTCCAGGCCGCAACAGGCGTGGCACTTTCTCGACACCAGAGGGGGTGCGCAGGGAATGGTCACCAACATCATTCTCACATGCTTCACTTCAGCTATCATCACTCCAGCCATCATATAAGTATGTGGGGTTCCTCGGTAGCGTAATTTGTTAGCGCTTTGGGGTCCCAGCAACAACGTAGTGTGATTTGCGCTTCAACCTTACCTCTCCGTCGTTTTCGAATCAGCGGATTGCGCCGTTCACCGCTGCCGCCTGCGACGTCGCCAGCTCCTCCTCCCTGCGTGAAGGGCTACCTGTAATACTGGGCATCGCTCGGACGTCCATTCCCTGTTGCTTGGTGGTTTCGTGCGTGCTTTTCCGCCAAATGACCAAGGATGCTCCTCGATGGCCCTCGCCGAAGGAAACATGCACACGTCCGAGCGATGCCAAGACCCTTTCCCCAGGACCGGCTCTTCGTCCTGAAGCGTTGTTTGACGGCCCCGGGGCCCGGCGAGGGCCACCTGCACCCTTATATGGCACGCCTCAGCCACCTTCCAGCACGCCTTGGCCACCTGCAATCAGAGTGGGCTGCAGTGGAGTGACATACCAGAGATCAAACCGGGGCCCGGCGAGGGCCCCTGGAGGCCGAGAACCTGCCGAAAACCTGTCCGAGCGATGCCAAGAACACTGCTGGATGTCCATCGGCTGCCTCCTCCTGCTGCCCTCCAGCCGTCGCTGCTGGCTGGCCGCGGGGCCTTCGGGCCTGCCTCGCGCCCGTGTGCTCCCCGCCCGCGCCCCTTCGAGGGAGCGGCACAAGGGGGGCGGGGGGAGGACGGACGGGCAGGCCCCCGGCACGCCATGTGGGGGGGGCCGTTGCTTCATGAGGAGGGGGAGGAGGAGGAGGAGGAGGAGGAGGAGGAGGAGGAGGAGGAGGAGGAGGAGGAGGAGGAGGAGGGAGGAGGAGGAGGAGGAGGAGGAGGAGGGAGGAGGAGGAGGAGGAGGAGGAGGAGGAGGAGGAGGAGGAGGAGGAGGGAGGAGGAGGAAAAGGAGGACAGGAGCAGGAGTAGGACCTACCCATCCTCCCCTTCCCCCCGTCCAACCTATGGTAGTGGTGGTGGAGAATTTGCCCATCACCATGATCAAGCACCGCCCGAGGAGGGAGGCCTCCGCCGCACACTCCAGGCGCCCGCCATCGCCCCGAAGAGGTCCGCGATCGGCGCTCGCACTTTGCACGGCGCGCATGCTGCGCGACGTGCGTCTGCGCGGTGCCAGCGCGGCTCTCGGCAACGGCAGCGCTGCTCAGCACAGATCCCTGTGAGGCTCCAGGGCCCACCCTGAGATCCTGGCGTCTCAAACGGGCGACGAAAAGAAGCGGGCCTTGCGCGAAATGACGTAGCGACCTGGCGCGTCACGCTGCATCGGAAACGAGGGCGCTTCGCTGCTGGTGGCGCGCGATTCCCAGGAGATCGGGGCCTCTGGACGATCCCCCGATCGAAAGGACAACCAGTCCTACACGGAGGCCCGACACTGGGCGGCACCGCCCGGATCGAGAAAGATTGAGCCGCCAGGGATCTCGGGGGCCCCAGACGCCTCTGGGCCGACCGACCAGGACCGCCCGAGGGCGCCCGCCGCGCGTTGCCCGCCGCGAGCTGCCCGCTGCCGCCGCTGCGCGCTGCCGCCGCTGCGCTGCCGCCGCTGCGCGCTGCCGCCGCTGCGCGCTGCTGCGCGCTGCCGCCGCTGCGCGCTACCGCCGCTGCGCGCTGCCGCCGCTGCGCGCTGCGGCCGCTGGCGTCGCTGTGCCCCGCCCCCCGCCGCCCACCGCGCCGCTGGGCCGCCGCTGGCGTCGTCGAAGGCGAAGGAGGAGGAGGAGGAAGAGGAGGAGGGGGAGGGGGAGGAGGAGGAGGATGAGGAAGAGGAGGAGCAAGAGGAGGAGGAGCTAGATGCGGAGGAGGAGGAGGAGGAGAGGAGCAAGAGGAGGATGCACCTTTACCCAGTAGAAATCGAAGGAGGAGGAGGAGGAGGAGAAGCAAGAGGAGGAGCAGGAGGCACAGGTGGATTCGACGCTACGATCACCCGGTTCAAGTCAGTGCAACGTAGACAGGGGCAAGAGGAGGTGCCTTCATCCAGTCGAGGTCGGAGATGGCATACTTCGAGCCGAGCCGCATCTGGGTGATGTTCTCAGCCACGATGTCGCGCTCCACCTGATCGGGCCGCCCGGGCGGCAGGAGCAACCATCTGCGCTTGCGCTGGCACATGGCTAGGCTGGCCCTGGGCCCTGGATCGAGGGTCGAAATTCCATGCCTTGCATGTGTGTTGGCACTTTTGGGGCCTCGGTGCGAGTCGAAACAAGGCCGCCAGAACGGGGGGCACGAGCACAAGTCGCTTCGCTTAAGGTCCCAAGTGGAGGGCCCAGAAGCGAAGAACATTCGGGTTGGGGGTCGCCGGGGGGGCAGCGCCGTCTGCAAGGCCAGATCCCAATACGCTTAGGTCGGGCACGTCCTTCCACAGTCGGATTTTGGCCGACACGTACTCAAACAATGCTCAAAAATGCTCAAACCTAGTCAAACAATCGTCCCCCTTCTATTTTGTTGATCATTTTTGAATACTCCTCCGGAAGAGGGACCGACTTAACAATACGCTCGGCCAGCAGCGCGCTTGATCAATCAATACAGATCCTTGCGACCCCCCCTCGCAAGAAGCTCGGATCTCAGGCTTGCTCGTGCCCGCGATTGGCCTGCCCAGGTCTGCACCCCACGAGCATTCCCTCCCCGCCCCCCTTCGCCCCAGAAGCACAGGGCGCGCTCGCTGCCCCTCCGCGAACTTCGACATCAGGCTGCGGCGAGCGAGGGGGGGGGGGGAAATGAGAAGGAGCAGGCCTTCCTATGGGGCTCGGAAGCGCCCCCGGCCCTCTGAGCAGTCGTCTGAGCCTCCCCCGAAGCCGCAGGAAACCTCTCAGAGGGCCAGGGGAGGAGCCCCGCCGCCTTCTGAGAAGGCCCTCTCCTTCTCACCGCCCCCCCCCCTTCACTCGCAGCCGATCTTGGTGACCGCTTTCCCTTTCCCGCATACAGGTCGTTCCTCGGGGGGGCAGATGTTCCAGGGCGGGAGGGTCACAAGAACGGCGGCCGCGGCGTGCACCCGCTCGGGTGCTTCCGCGCCACCGGCGCATTCATCGCCTGTGCGCACCACGGCGTTCAAGGGGGGGGTCGAGGACCCCCCCCCCCAGAACGATCGTTACCCGGGGGGGAGGGGTTTGGCATGGGTAACAAGCGTTACAGTCGAGGCGTTGACCTAAGGAATCCTAAATAAGGAACGAGGCCCCTTTTTTCCACAAGTTAACCTTCGATTTCCTGTCGAAAACATAAGGAAAGCCTGAGGCAAGCTGTGAAGCACTTAAGGAACGCGGAGCCCCTACCCAACGAAAAGGGTTCCTTCTTCAGGGCCCCGACTGTAACAAGCGTCACCCTGGGGAGGAAGAAAAAAACGCTCACCCATCCCTGGGTGGCGACATCCGAAGCCTACGCCCACCAACCATGGATTTTCCGGGATTGATACAACACGGGGGTGGGGTTCGGACTCGGCCACGTGTTCAACGAATTCACAACCAAATCCCCGCCGCCCGTCGAGATGCTTGAATCGTTGACCGGCGAGGGTGGGGTTCGGACTTAGCCACCGAGTCCCTGGTATTGAGCAGTGACCGACCGTCCCGGCAATACTATAGGCCTACCACGAAATGTTCTTAGACGCCAAAAACTATCTAATAACAAAAACAACGTTCTTAGAACACAAACCCGATGCGTTAAAACAAGACGGCCTCAGCCAGACATGTTCAGATTCTCAGAACATGCCTTGCACACCCCGAGAAAGGTTATCATAACATTCTCTGCGGTGGGCCTATAGGCGAGCCAGGACGCTTCGCCACTGCTTGATCGTGCCACCTGCACCAAGCACTCCGACGTCGTGGTCTGTACCCCTCCTGTTCCGCCCCCCTTTGGGTGATCCAAAAGGGGGTCCAGCTGAAAGGGGGTGGTGCAATAGATTTCGGGCAATTGTTTTGCAAATGTACTGCGCCGGAGAGTTGTGTTGAATTGCGTTGCAAACAAAATACGCACTGCACGCGAAAATCCAGCAATGCATTTGCGCCCGGGAATGGACTGCACGCCCCAAGCCAACGGCAACCCCACAAAACCATTGCACCAAATGTATTGCACCACCCCCTTGTCGCTGGACCCCCTGGTGTCATCCCGAGTGCCCCTCCTGCTCGGAGGCGACCAAGCGGGGGGCGTCCAAGAAGGGGGGGTGCAAATCATGGCCAGAGGCACGTGCGCGGCCCATGGGGAGGGGGGCGGATCTGGGGAAATATCGTGGCCCCCGCCATGACATCCAGCCCCCCCCCCAGTCATCACCCCCCTCTTGGACGCTCCCGCCCTGCTCTCCACCCCCACCGCTGCGCCGTCGAGGGCCGCCGCGGGCCCCCCCGGGGGGGCCGTCGAGCGGCTGCACGGGGAGGAAGGACTCTCGGGCGCACATCTCACGGAGAGAAAGGCTGCCCACGGGGGGCGCAGGCACGTGCGCCATGTTCGGGGCGGGGCTGCGCCGGGCTCCAGCGCCCCCCGCGGGCCCTTCCCCTCCTCCCTCCCCTTCCCGCCCCTCCCCCCCCCTGTGCCGCCTCCCGGTGTTCGTCTGCCGTCTGGCGCTCGCCTGTCGCGTCGTGCCACTGGGCTTCGTCATCGCTGGTTTCTTCATACTACTGGAAGAATAGCAATATGAATAATACTATTAGTATGTATGATTAGTACTATTACTAACAATACTTGTCTAACGAGTATTACTATTGTTTATATTCGTAGTGTTGTTGTGCATGTTGTTGTCAGTAGTATCAATACTATTTATGGTCTGATTATTCGTATCATTTTTATTATTGGTAGGATGGTCATGATTATTAACCTCAGGAAGGCATTAAGAACCCCCCCCCCCCCTTTTCCGGTGGATCATAACGCCCCCGCACCCTGGAGCGTTATGGCCGCACCGGAAGACCTGGCTGAGGGGACTCGGGGCCTAGCTAAGGCCTGCCAAGCGCAGATTTGCTCCTGCCAAGCAGTTTAGCAGGGCCAAGCAGGGCCAAGCAGGGCTTCGCAAGGCATAGCAGGGCATAGCAGGGTTTAGCAGGGCTTTGCAGGGCTTAGTGGGGCGTTAGTGGGTCGGCCGCCGATGGTGGATTTTGTTTTCTGTGTGCGGCGGGTGCTAAGTGTATCGTTCGGCTAAAACTGCCCGCATGGAATATTGAGAAAACTGAGTGCTAAGAATAACCCAGGGGGGTTTCTTAATGCCTTCCTGAGGTTACTAGTTGTGTTATTCCTGTTTTTTTCACATTATTCGTTTGAGAAAGAAGTGCACCTTTGGGACGCGAGGTGAGCGACGAAAACAAATGGATCCTACGCGAAATTATATAATTAGGTACCTTGCGCGGTGGCTTACGCGGGCCGCCCGAGCGGCCCGCTGCATAAGGGAGACGAGGGCGCTCGCGCGCGACCTCGCGCGAGGAGCTTACGCGCCCATGTCGGCGCAAACGGCCCCATTTTTTGTCCGTCGCTCAGGCAGCAACCTGGAGGCCGTTGGGCCTTCACATGCTGCGCGCTACTTGGCGGATAGGAACGGGGGAAGCCCACATTGGTCTGACTCACGCCCTGAGGATCCTCGAACACCTTGCGGAGAACCGTTGCGGGCCCCTGGGGCGGAAGAGGAGCAGGAGGAGGAGGCGGAGGAGGAGGCGGAGGAGGAGGAGAAGGAGGAGGAAGGGGGAGGGAGGAGGGAAGGAGGAGGGAGGATGCAGGAGAGAGATGAGGATGATGAGGATGATCATGAGATGATGAGAATGATGAGAAGGAGGATAGAGGATGAAGATGAGGATGAGGATGAGGATGAGGATGATAATGATGATGATGATGATGATGATGATGATGATGATGATGATGATGATGATGATGATGCGGATGCGGATGCGGATGCGGATGAGGATGATGATGTTGACGATGATGATGATGATGATGATGATGATGATGATGATGATGATGATGATGATGAGGAGGATGATGATGATGAGGATGATGGTGATGATGATGATGACCATGACGATGACGATGAGGAGGAGGAGGTGGAGGAGGAGGAGGTGGAGGAGGAGGAGGGAGCACCTTGCCCTGGAGGGCTTGGCCGAGGGCTCCGCGGAGCCGCGCCGTGAAGAGGCACGACGTCGCAGGTCCGGACACGGACGGGCCTCCCGTGGTGGCTCGGCCACAGAGGGCGCGGCGGAGGCAGTCCCAGGAGGCACGCGAGCGTGAGGCGGCGGGGAGGGGCGAAGACAGGCGCACACCGTTCGTGCAGCTCTGGGGACCTCCTCCTCCTCCTCCTCCTCCTTCTGCTGCTCCTCATGCTGCTCCTCTTGCTGCTCCTCCTGCTGCTGCTGCTCCTCCTCCTCCTGCTGCTCCTCATGCTGCTCCTCCTCCTCCTCCTGCTGCTCCTCATGCTGCTCCTCCTCCTCCTCCTCCTCCTCCTCCTCCTGCTGCTCCTCATGCTGCTCCTCCTCCTCCTCCTCTTCCTCCTCCTCCTCCTCCTCCAGAAAGACGCACCCAGTGGCGGGGTTGGGGTCGACGAGGGCTCCGCGGAGCCCCGCCGTGAAGCACGAGGCGGCGGAGGCCTGGATGCGGACAGGTCTCCCGCCGCCGGGCCGCGGAAGGAGTGGGGCCCAAGAACACACCAGCACACGCGCACCACTCCCAGGATTCCAACCAGCATGTGCCACACTGCCTGGGTGTTCGTGCTCCCGTCCACCGGGGGAACGAACCACGACAACATAGAAGCTCGGTCCGCGCGGATTCCTAGAATCCGCGCTGGGGCCCCCTGGCGGCGCCTCTCGCGCCGCCCCTGGCGCGCTCCTCGCGCCAGGGAGGGGGATCCAGCGCCGATTCGAGAAATCCGCGCGGATCTCAGAGTTTTTTACGTTTACGTCATTATTCGTTCCCCTATCCACTTCCCATAACTACATTCCCCAGTTTCCTGGAGATCTCGACGGCGCTTCGTGTCCGTGCTCTTGTTGTTCCCTCCTGCAGGGAGGGCCCCGCCTCTCTGAGCCGCCGGCGCGATGCTGCCACGTCGCCGGGGGAGCTCTGGGGCTGCGATGACAGGCCAACTTCCCACCACCACCACT